AAGTTAAAAAAAAAAATGAGCTATTATTTATAATTCATATTTCATATCTCGCCTTGTTGAAGTTTTAAATTCTATCGTGTGCACACACCTTAGTTTTTATTGTTTTGTATTAGAATATTTGTATTCTTCCGGTACACATTCTGTTCTCCTCAAAATTTAACACATGTAAAGCCGCGAGATACTTTTAGTAGGATAATAGAATGGCAAACTATTGATGTCTCTATTATCTTTTTTTGTATTTTCATCAAACCGTTGCCGAATAATATCGACACTATTGACACAAATAGAAAATGCTTTGAATACGAAGGCGTTTTACCATTTCGGCTAACAAGCAATTTTCGATTCAGTCGAACGCCCCCGCCAAGTCCATTATCAGTCCAAAGCCGGGCCTTCAGCCCCCATTGACAGGACTCAGATAAACGACTGTATGGACTGAGTCCAGTCAGTCCAATGGGACTATACAGACAATATCCAGCCTAGACCGAGGCTATTGTCTAATATGGGACCGTTCGACTGGAAGGCAATACGATGAAACTAATGCCTTCCAGCATCCAGTCCTGGAGTCCGCTTCGCCTTGGAGAACCTCTATCGTCTCAAGTGCACGGTCCGATGCCTATTATTCATGTCTTCTTCGTCCTAAGGATGGAATAATACTCCTACTGAGTCGGAAGAGTACCAAGGGCTAATCTTTGCAATTTTTTTAGAAAAACTAGTTATCGGAATGCCCTGAAATAATTACAGGTATATTTTTTTCAAATAAAATAATTTTTTATTATTTATTTATTTATATGATATTTACAACTGAATACAAAAAATACATCTGGTAAATTCGCACATGGATATAATGACATGGAACACATGTTGAGAAACTATCCATTGGTAGCACTATAATAATATGTCTATATTAGAAGATCACGTGACCATCTTCTTTTCAGACGCCTCGGAGGGTTATCAGGAATTGTAAAGGAAGCAAGGTTAGAGACAAGAGGGTTGGGATGGTTATGAAGTTTATTATGGAAGGACAGATATCTGGATTGGGCCAAATCTGATTCATAAGGAACATTAAGGTCATTATGGATAATTTTATTTGTCACAAAGTAAGGAGCATTGAGGATTTTACGAAGGATTTTGGATTGTAAGGATCGGATGCGAGAGGAATTTGAAGGTTTGGTGGAGCCCCATAGCTCAACTCCGTAAGTCCAAATAGGCCTTATTATAGTCATATAAATGAGTCTTTTATAATTGATTGGAAGGTTAGAGCGTTTGTCTAGTAAGTGTTGAAGTAGTCGGAAACGTCGAGCTGTTTCTTGTCGTTTCAGTCTGATATGAGGATTCCAAGTTAGGCGTTTGTCCAGATGGAGTCCTAGGTAACGGATTTGTTCAAGAGGAATAAGTGAGGTGTTGTTAAAGGATACTGAAGGACAGGAAGTCATTGGTTTACGACGAAGGGTGAAGGTAATTTGATGTGATTTATTGGAATTTATTTTAATTCTCCAGTTCTAACACCATTCTTCAAGGTTTGTGATGTGGGATTGAAGGGTTTGGGATGCAATAGATGGGTCGCTATTAACTGATAGGATACATGTGGCATCAGCATATGTGGTGATGACAGTGTTGGGATGGGTTGGGTCAAATAAAATAAATAATACGAAACTGTTTTTATCGTTATAAAAATAGTCTAAGGCAAAATAGTTCAGACTATTTTTCTCCTCTGTTTATCAACCGAGTTTCTTTTTTACTTTCTCTTACATATATATGCAATGTATAGTAAGGATAGGTATTGCAATCGTGAAAATTTTCGAGTCTGAGTTTTCAACGGAAATACATATTTTGAGGTCCCCTGAGTCCAAATAACCAAGTCCCGCAAAATTGTCTACGTGTTTGTTTGTTATCAGTCTAGCTCAAAAACGAAAAGTCCTTTGATTTTGAAATTACATATTTAAGGTTTTAATAATTTTCGATGTTACAGCAACATTTTCGTTAAAATCAGCAAACCGGAAGTGGTACTTTATATAACCGATTTAACACATTTTTAAGATTTTTTTAAAAAACGGCTCTAATGATTTTGATTAAACTCCAGTATATCAGTGTATAATTAAGTAGTTTGTAATATAATTTAGGTTTTATTCTCATTGATGTTTTCTATCAGGCCTTATTTTATAATGACTAATTTGCAATATTGGCTACCTGTACAGTATATTTTTTAAAAAAATAATTAACAATTTCATATTAATCTTTGATATATAAAATAGTTAAATATAAAAGATTTTGATAATTAACTAAACAAGAAATAAGATACCGTAACGGATAATAGTTGTAGTAGATCAATCAAAGGAATACTAGGTTTCCCGAGCTCATCCGAAATATTACAACAGGCTTCCATACATAACATGAGCTTCATATAATACGGACTCCAACAGTATTATGTTCATATCGAAATGAGGTTTTCATAAATGCTATCGTTTGTATTATTTAATATTTTATTGTATAGAATAGAGCGATATAAAAATGGGAATTTGTATGTATAAGGGTATTTAAACAAATAAAAATATTCTTATTTTTTTCTTTTTGCTGGGAAGTCGTATGTTATTCTCTGTTTTTAGCAATAATAACTTCCAATTAAACAACAATTGATCACTTGAAGCCATAAATATATAAAAAAAAAAAAAAAAAAAAAAAAAATAGAACAACAGTAAATTACAAAACATTTGGGGACACTTTATGCTGATATATTAAACAAAATTAAAATTTAGTAAAAATGAAATTGCAGCTACATAAAAAATAAATATTTAACAACAATAGTAAAAAAATAAATAGTCATATCCAAAGGTCAATAGTATTCACCATGGCAGACAACCAATAATTGGTCTAAAGGCATGATGATGCTCTGGAAATTAAATACTATAAAATGTTAAAACACGAATTTAGAATCTGACAATGGAGCGCATTAGAGTCAAGATAATTACAAATTTAATACAACAACTCAATTCTAACATGTATTGTAACATGCATTATATTTAACTTATTTTTAGCCATGAATCGACAAAAAAACATGGGATTGTAGTTCTGAAGATGGTTGTAAACGTCCCGAAACGTTGGAAATACAACAAAATATCTATTATTGTTTAATTTGAAGTTATTATTGCATACAAACTGAAAATAAAAATCCCCACAAAAAATTTGTAAATAAATATAGCGTCAATAATTTTTACTTTCACTAGCCCTTTGTGAGAAAATACTTATTTCTGCTAAGAAGAGGGTGGTAAGTGAAAGTCATGTGATGCGCCCACCATATTTTTGGGTTTAGTAGCTATTGAAGAGCTACAGTGATATCAATAAATAAAAAAGAAGAAATGAAAATAATTTATAAAAATAAAAATGTAAATGTTTATTTGTTCAAAACCACTAATATTTGGAAATTTTATTCCGATTACTTTGAAAATTAATGGAACGTTCCAATGAAACTCAGGAGTGTTTTTATAAATATTTCATTGCCTTTCGTTCCGAAATAGCGCCAAAATGGCAGTAAAGATTTTAATTAAAACCTCTAAATATCATATTATTAAATTGAATAAATGTTTATTTCACTGTTTCATATCGGACAGGTTATTGAAGATATAAAGATAATTGCATATGATAAAATATGAAAATAATTATACCTTAACATATTCAAGTTTGAACATTTTGAAAAGCTATAGTTCGAAACCTGTCATGTTTTCCGAGCCTATTCTGGTCCTGAATTATAGTAAATGTTATCTAGTAAACAAATATATAGAATGATTTTTATCTATAACGTGCCCGTTTATGGCATTACTGATAAGTGTGAAAATTCACCAATTTTTGGGATATTCAAAAGTGATTTGCGGGATCCTCGAAGTCGAAAATTGAGATTTTATACCTCAGTCACATCACGTACTCGAAAAAAAAATATAAACCTTCTACCACAACTTGATGCAGCTTACGATGTATGCGGGGTATTGGACTAGACCTGCTCGATAAGTGTTGAATTATACAATAATTTTTAAGCAAGTAAATGTGTCTATCTACCTGCGGTTGGATGTTTATTTTCGGGATGTAGACAATATTCCAGAGAGCGAAGAAATGAGGAGGCAACAATATATAAAATAACACATTTTAATATGAACAAGTAGAAAACCCAACAAGAGAAAAAAAACAGATTTTTTTTTTTTTTATAAAACGAAATGTTGTGGGAATAGATTCCTTGAGAATAAAAAATATTTATAATTATACTGAAAATATTAATAGCTGTAAGGAAGAAGAATATGGCGTGTGGTAGAGAGTGCCCTTCGGCGTCCCTTCTTATCTTGATTTTAATATTTATATTTAGTGGAGGAGATCTCTCATCCAGCTTCTTTAAGCCTCTTACGGGTGTTATCGGGTATGTTGGTTCTGGCCATGTTGGCATGTTGGTTGAATCATATAAGTTCAGTTGGTAAGTTCATGTAAGTTACTGTGAAATATTTTATAATTGTGTTCGTTAACCGTTGGTATTTGTAGGTCTTTTTGTAAATATATAAAGATACTGTACTTTTTCTGTCTGAAGAATTTGGACATGGTCAAGGTATAGGAGGGCAAGTTTTACGTAGAAGAGTAAAATATGTTGTGATTTGTCTTCTATGTTGTGATTGTTGAGTCGAATTTTCCGAGTTTGCACCACTCATGAAATTTCTTAAACAATAAAACATTAAAAATATATAGACACAAATAAAAACCGATCTTGAGGATACATTCAAGAAAAAAAAATCACGCTACATTTCACGTTATTGCCACAACGTTATTCCTTAATGAGAAAGTATTTCACGTCGACGGTATTCCTTTACTTAAAAAAATATTTGTTGGCTAGAAATCCAGTATAACGGTATCTTTATATCGAACTGAAGGAGACCATATAACAACCATTACTTCCAGTTTTACACAGCTTTACCATGATAATACCATCAGCATTACCGAATACGAAGAAGTCATCCGTTTAAAGACAAATGTTCCAAAACGACCTGTCGTGCAAATTGTACTGTGGCGTGCGCTCTCCTAGAATAGCTTCTAATGGTGAGAATATCTTTATCGGTTTGCTCCTTAATCTGTTTGAATTTCATTTAAAGGGTGGAAATGAAATTTGCGGACATTCTGCTTAGGTCATCTTTTCTTTTACTGTTTCTGTTTCGTTCATTGCTAGCACTAGCGGATCCAGGATTTCTTTTGGGAAAGGTGGTGTCTTTAACCCGAAAGTTTTTATGTTTGTTTCGTAATTGCACGGCGCTATTTTAGGTATGTGTTCACTAACATAAAATGAACAAAAAAAACTCATATTAACATATTTCTCAAACTCCTCTCTCGATCACAGAGGCCTCAAGTCGACGAAATCAGACATGTATTCAATGACTATACTACAATTAACGTAAGGTTGTGTGGATGCGAACCCTTGCGTTATCTCTAAAATAGTACGTTTTTGGGCTTAAAAAGGAACCGAAGGAACTATGCGGGTCTTGCTGTACGCATCAAAATCTTCAAGGTCCAATTCGTCCCGCATCGATCTACAGACCTACCACCGTTCCAGTATTGAAGCCTAGCATAATGTTTGTATCGACTTTATTTATTTTAGAAATAAAAACAAAAGTGGAGAATACAATTCGCAAACTCCCCGTGAAATTCTGAATACAACGGTACCCCATTCATGGCATTTGAGCATGACAGGATATTTGATACGAAACCGATTTCGTGCCGTACTGTAATAATATATGTGGGGATTATACTAAAAAATTGTAATGACGCTAAATTTTTGAATTTTCGAACAATACGTATTTTTTATTTATATGAAAATTCGTATTAAAGGGTTTTTAGAGACGATAAATACAGATATTACACTTCCATGGCCTCATTTAACCATCCCTCTATACAATTATTGTCCATACTGTTTTGTGAACTACCACTAGCGGATTCAGGATTTAATTTTTTTTTTTTTAAAAGGAGTGCTATCAATGGATAGTTTCTCAACAAGCGTGTTTCATGTTATTTTATTCCTCTGTACATATTTACTTGATGTATTCATACTAATACAGTTGTAAATATCATAATAAAAAAAAAATAAATAAAAAAAAAATTTTTGGTGGGGGGAGACTTCAGCTCGAAATTTTATTTTTCATATACAGGTAACGATAATTAATTTGAAAAAAAAAGAAATTAATTACCTATATGAAATGGTGTTTCAATGGTTCTTGAAGTCCTATTAAATACAATTACACGAACAAGAATAATTTAAGAGATAGTTTTTAATATTTTTTTCTGTATAACATGGTTATATTTTACCATTTTTGGGGGGAGAAGGAGGGGGCTTCAGCCCGAAAGCCACCCCTACCCCCGAAGATCCGCCTGTGTAAACTACTATCCTTTCTTTATCTTAATATTATCTTCTTATTTGTTCTCTTGATATTTATTTAATTACTCCCTTACCTTTGCAGCGGGGTACAGCGAGGATAGCGACTATACCAGCGACCTCAATTATCCGGTGGGGCAACACGCCAACAGCTCCGCATCTCAGTTCAGAGCCGCCGCTCACCAGCTTCCAACTCCTCAGCGCTCACTCGAGACGAGCAGGGAGAACTCGTACGAGACCGAAGAACCGCCGGCTCAGCCCCAGCATCTACAGCATGGACATCACCTCAGCCCCGGTTAGTCACTGAAACTATAATAATAATAATAATATTATATATTACTTACTACATATTACTTACTATACAATAGTGCAGCTATTCAGTACATGCTAGGTTATATTTACCTGATGTACCCATCGTTGAAGGGGTATATAGTTAAAATTTTAAAATCTTGTTTTGAGATGGATTCTGTATTATGGGGGAGGAGAGTTCAGAATCAATTTCATAAATTGGGCCGAGAGGGTTGATGGGGGTTGTTTTGAAATTTTTTATAGCGGGGCTTATGGAAGTCAAGGTTTCGCAATAGTCATAAAACTTTGTTATTCGGCTATTTGTTAAGGTACCACACAACTAAACTGACCACCACCGATCCATTAAAATTAATCAAAAAGAGTTGTAGTCTCTCCACTTCTTTAAACTCTGCTGCATGCTGAGTTTTTTTTTTTTCCTGATTTCCGGCTAATCCTTTTGCTTAATCCTGAAAATGTACAGGACAACATTTATTACGCTCGTGAAGTTGAATTGAATGACACCTTGAACAGGACAAAGTTGAAAAATGAGTGTGTTTTACCCGTTTTATGTGACACAGATTGTTCAGATGTTCGGTATTTCGGATGTTTACCGTTGCGTTGTGATAATTTTTCCATCATTTGAGTAGTACAACTTTTAAATGTGGCTGGCGGTAGAGTTGGTTGGGATAAGAATCGAAGCAACTGCCTATCGGGATCTCTAAACAAATTATTTCATAACTTTGGTTCTACTGAATATTTTTTTTTTCATTTAAAGCCTATATTTTAAGTCAAGCAAACCTAAAGGTAATGTCAAAATTTCAAAAGTCTGCCGTTCGCCATTGTCGAGCTTACCCCTGACAAAATTTCGTTGGACAATGCGGACATCTAGGCTGACAACAAATTTTTTTAAAGTGGATTTGGTTCCTGTAATGTATAAAATGGCTTGATTCTATTCAATGTACAGAAAAAAACCTTTATTTTATTTATATAGATGCTCTTTAACCTATAAACATATGTTTATTATTAACATTTATTATCAACATTAACCGTGATCTCTAGACAAATTACTCAAGAATTCATAACTTTGGTTATACTCAATATATTATTTTCATTTAAACCCTATGCTTTAAGTCAAGCGAACCTTAATATAATGTTAAAATTTAAAAAGTCTACAATAAGCCATTGCTGAGCTTACCCCTCACAAAATTTCGTTTCTATGCGGACACACAGACAGAATTTTTTTTTTTTTAAAAAGTGAATTTGGTGTCTGCAATGTATGAAACGAAAAGATATCATAAAATGGGTTGATTCTATTCAATGTACAGACAAAATCTTCATTTTATTATTATATTATATAAATTGTATAAGTTTCCCATAGAGATTATTGTACAGAAGTGAGAGAAACATTGAGCACGATTATTGATTCCGTATTTATAAAGATCATATAAATGAATTGATATAATGGTAAAGGGAATGATATAAGGATAAGAGGGGTGGCTATTAAATAATAAAACTGTTGCTGTAAAACATAAATCCAACGCTCCATGCGAATCTTCCATTGTCTGCCGTGATGGACAGTGCTGCAAATCCTCTTTTGCCAGTTTCTTCTGGACGCTAGCCGTTTTTTATATCAGCAAGGACGTGAATATTGTAATTTTGATTAATTTTTGGACTTCAGGAACCCAGTGAAGTTAGACAATGGTATTAATATAGAGAAAAATCATCATTGCCTTTTAATTCCCCAATTGGAACTTTTTTGGTTATCGGTGAAATTGAGCCAGTGCATTGATTGGTGCTTGGTTTTAGAATCATAAATAGAATTACAACCGTTAAAAAAGCTTTTGATATATTTTTTTTTTTAGGTTGTTTAAGAAACACAGATTACATCACATTTCGTTAAAAAAAAAAACGTTTTCGGAAATAATTTTATTTTCTCACAACTTATTTAATTATTTATTTTCGTTTTTGGAAAAATAGTAATAATAATTGCACCATCGGATTCACTGCGTGTTTTCATGGGAATCGATACTTCCTAATTTCTCTAATAATCGATCAGGATTCACTATGAAAATAAGAGACTCATTTGTCCGATCTTCGTTTACAATTATACGATATTTTGATGTGACACATAGAAAACGATGTTTAAAGGATAAAATATGTTTTAAAGAATAATAATATGATCCATCCTTTATAATAATAAAAAAGGTAACGAATACTGCAATTGTAAATACAGGTTAAATATAGGTTATGCGGTTTAAAATAATTTCATCTCAAATATTCTTTCAAGGTTGATAGAAATAGGGAATATAGTTTTTGAATTTTTAAAAATATTAGGAAGCATACATTGCCCTTCTATATATTGTTCTGTATTAAATATTTAACAATAATAATTATAAAATATTTATCCTTAGTAAATATTTTTCACACACCACTTCTGTATTTCTCTACTAAATAGATGAATCTACTTACGATAAGGGACAGTAATAAGAAGGAACATATAAAAGAAAATCTGTATTCTAACTAGAAAAAAATAATTTTAGAGAGAAAATTAAACAATATTTGTTAATTTTTAAGAATAACAAGAGTTCCAATTAAAAAAAAAAATCAAACATTTTCGGTATGATACTTACGTTGAAAATTCATTTCTGGGAATATAATTAGTATTTTGGAAAGTTTTAGTTAAGTTTGAAAACAATTGAAAAAAAAACAATGTATTTTCATATGGATAACATCTGGGTGAATATAAAAAAAAAAAAATTAAAAACCATATGATCCAATAAACTTTATCATTTAAAGTTTTGAAATACTCTTAGCAAAATTTCAACATGTAGAGCTCCAAATAACTCTTAAAAGACAAGGCACATCCCAAGTAAAGACAGGACACTAAGATGGCGAAAATGCTGCAAAATGTGTTCTGGGATAGAAATAGGATGCAGGTCACAAAATTACTTGCATACGTCATTACAAATCAAGATACTGGAGAAAAACGTATTTATCAAATAATTACCAAAAATAGACAAATAATATATAAACAACTTTTTTGGGATATTCTGATGCCCCGACATATCAATTTTAAAGAACCTATTGGTATTATAGCACAGAGACAAAACAGTCCTTCAATTTATTGGAGTTTTTCTCTGAAAGATATATTCAACCGAATATTGGAGAGGTTAAAAGGTCTCAGAAACCGGAAACCAATGTTACAAGACACTTGTAATATAAGTAAGAAGAAAGAAGATACATTCAATCCATTTAAAAGTGCAGAATTTCCCTTAGATAAAAATAAGAAAACAAAAGATCCTTCCACACCGAAAGAAGATCCATTAAAAAAAAAAGATGGTCTTAACATAGGGAAATATCCTCCTCAAAAACAAGACGATCCATGCAAGGATATATTACGTACTCCTAAGAAAAAACTAGATCCGCCAAAGAAAACATATGATCCGAAAAAAGACCCTGAAAATAATAAGAAGGATACTCCAAAAAAATCTTGTGATCCTCGTGAGCCGAATGACCACCTTGTCAATAAAACCACACAATCTCCGAAAAAACATTATGGCCCTTGCAAGGAGATATTATCCCGACCTAAGGAAAAATTAGATTCTCAAAAAAAAATTAACTATCCCCATAAGGAGAAAGGAGACTATGCCAAGAATAAAAAAGATATTTCGAAGAAACCTTATGACCCCTGTGAAGGAATATTATCCAGCCCTAAGAAAAAACTAGATTCTTCAAAGAAAATTAACCACCCTCAAAAGAAGAAAGGAGACTATTCCAAGAATAAAAAATGTATTACGAAGAAACCTTATGATCCGAAAAAACATTATGGCCCTTGCAAGGAGATATTATCCCGTCCTAAGGAAAAATTAGATTCTCAAAAAAAAATTAACTATCCCCATAAGGAGAAAGGAGACTATGCCAAGAATAAAAAAAAAATTTCGAAGAAACCTTATGACCCCTGTGAAGGAATATTATCCAGCCCTAAGGAAAAACTAGATTCTTCAAAGAAAATTAACTACCCTCAAAAGAAGAAAGGAGACTATTCCAAGAATAAAAAATGTATTACGAAGAAACCTTATGATCCGAAAAAACATTATGGCCCTTGCAAGGAGATATTATCCCGTCCTAAGGAAAAATTAGATTCTCAAAAAAAAATTAACTATCCCCATAAGGAGAAAGGAGACTATGCCAAGAATAAAAAAGATATTTCGAAGAAACCTTATGACCCCTGTGAAGGAATATTATCCAGCCCTAAGGAAAAACTAGATTCTTCAAAGAAAATTAACTACCCTCAAAAGAAGAAAGGAGACTATTCCAAGAATAAAAAATGTATTACGAAGAAACCTTATGATCTGAAAAAACATCCTGCCAAGATTAAGAAGGATACTCCAAAGAAATCTCATGATCCTCGTAAGCCAAATGATGCCCTTGCCAATAAAATAACACATCCTCCAAAAAAACCTTATGACCCATGTGAGGAGATATTATCCCGTCCTAAGGAAATACTAGATTCTTCAAAGAAAACTTATGATCCGAAAAAACACCCTGCTAAGAATAAGAAGGATACTCCAAAGGAATCTCTTGATCCTTGTGAGCCGCATGAGGACCTTGCCAATAAAATAACACATCCTCCAAAAAGACTTTATGACCCATGTGAGGAGATATTATCCAGTCCTAAGGAAAAACTAGATTCTCCAAAGATCCTGCAGATTACATATAACCATCATGAGGAGAAAGGAGACCAAGCCAAGAATATAAAAGATATTTCGAAGAAACTTTATGATCCGAAAAATGAACCTGCCAAGAATAAGAAGGATACTCCAAAGAAAACTCATGATCCTCGTGAGCCGAATAAGGACCTTGTCAAAAAAAGAACACATCCTAAAAAAAAACCTTATGACCCTTGTGAGGAGACATTATCCCGTCCTAAGGAAAAACTAGATTCTCCAAAATATGATCGGAAAAAACACCCTGCCAGGAATAAGAAGAATACTCATCATCCTCGTAAGCCG